GGCGCTCTGTGCTTCACTCAGTTCTTGTGATAATATATCTTTAAATTTTGTTCACAAAGTTCTTTTCTAGCTTCTGTTGTAGGATAGGTCTGCAAGGTCGAAATCCAAGTTACTGTGATAGGGCTTCCTTATTTCAATGGGTACAGTCTGTGTGAGTAAAGATGAGTTAGTTCTCACCCTCTGTGCATGCACCTACACTTTCAGTGTGATTTTTTCAAGATTACTTTATTGAGCTCAGGGTCATCTCCCTACCATGTTCAAGATTGTGCTGACCTTCACTGTGAGACAAGAAACCTTTCAGTGGGCCTTTGTGTTCTTTTAGTCTAAGTGGAGTTTCACTGGGGTGGACATTTGCTGGTGGTGAGGGAGCTGAGATCTCGCTGACCATTGAAATGCCAGTTGAATTCTTTCATCTCTTTCTTTCTGTGAAGTCTGAGCCCCTGTGGGGTCTGGTTTCACTCCCTCCTTCATTGCTTTTGCACCCTATAATTTTCCTTACTTCCAAACTGCTTGAATTGTCTGTCTTTGGCCTGTACTTTCGTTTCTCCTTTTGTTTATCTTTTTTATAAAATTTTAATTTTAATTGTGATTTTAATGACCATTTACAGAAAAATTAATTTTCACTCATTCAGTGTTGTACATTTTTACTCCCTCTCCTTCCCTCCCTTCCCCTTTCCCCTAGTTCACTTATTATTATTATTTTTTAAAATATTCATTCATTGTTACACAATTTACCTCCATGCCCCCCTGTCCCCAGTCCACTTTGCGATGGTACCTTTTATTTTGGACTATTGTCATACATGTAATATCTTTCCTTTTCCTTTCCTTCATCTGTTCCAGTGCAATATTCATTATCTATCCACTCTTATCCTATTTTTCTCCCAAGCCCTCATGTCAGACCTGCTTTAAAACAGTGCTGCTTTGCAATATTTGTCCTTTTGCAACTCAGTTATTTCACTCAGCATAATGTGCTGCAAGGCCACCCATGTTGTATAATGTTTTTATGAGTTCATTGTTTTTCAGTGCTGTGTTATATTCCATTGTATGAATATACAATAGTTTTTCTATCCATTAATTTGTTGGTGGGAACTTGGGTTATTTCCATCTCTTTGCAATTATAAATAATGCTACAATAAATATGGGTGTGCGTTCCTTTCTCCATTTCTGTATGACCCTACAGGAACCCAGTTGTACTTGGAGGTCCTTTGTGTTTTGTACTGAGCTGTGCTACCATCAACTGCTGTCCAGTTGATTGTAACTCATGGTGACCCTCAGTTGGATTTCTGAGATTGAACATACTAATGGGAGGAGACTGCCTATCTTTATTCCTCAGAGTGGCTAGTAGGCTTGAACTTCTGACATTTCAGTTGACAATTCAAGATCATGTTACACCACCAAAGCTCATTGAGTTAACCTTGCTAGAAGGTTAAGGAATATAGCAGAGATGGGAAAGACATTTGGATGTTTGAGTTTATCCTTTCACCTCCATTTACTGTCTGTATACCTAGAACCTATTTTCTTCCTTTAGTAAAATTAAGATCATCTTGAGGATAAATTGAAATGATAAATGAGAAGATAATTTACAAATTAAAAAGTGTGTCTTAAATAGACATACTTTTTATGCAACTCATTCATTTAAATTCAAGACTGAAATTCAAAGGTACCTATTGAGACAAATCCTTTTGTTAAAATAAAGTCATGGTTTGAGGACGGAGGCCAACTTTTATGACCTTTGTGTTGGCGAAATATTCAAGCTTTGGGTCCTGTGAGTCAGTGTTACAGTGATAGACAAGTTACCCTGAAGAGTGTATTCTTTGAGGTAACAGTAGCAAGACTTTGCAATGCACTAGACACTGCTCTTTTAAGCCATTTTGTTTTCACCTTGAAAGGCAGGATTTTTCTTTTTGACAAGCATGCCAGGCCAGCCCTCAGGGCAGGGTCAGGCTCACTACTGATTGCCTGGCTACACCTCCCTTCTTGTAGATAGACATATCTGAAATGTTCCCTTCATTAGTTTGTGTAAGGATATGACTTTTAAAACAGGAACTGCCCACCTTCTCATACTGAGATGGGCTTTCTTGTTTTCCAGGGCTTGCTGAGATGAGCAGCTTCTTTGACTGATGTGTGGGATTGGGCACCATTGACTGCTAAGCCCTGACTGGTGTATTTGAAAGACGTTTAGTGTAAGAAACTATTTGAAGGTTTCCTAGAAATCTTCCCTGTAGCTCTTTCTCTGTCAAAGTTTGTAATGGTTATTATCCGGAAGGAAGAACAAAGCTACAGTTTTTCACCTCACGCTGGAGTAGGGCAGATGGTTTTAAGTTGTGTAGTTTGTTTTCAGAAAAACACCAGGCAAGGTGATCTGCCTTCTCCTCGCCATGTGTTTCATTGCACATATGGGGGACCTTCTGTAGTTAGACATATTGAACAGCCCTGCGGGCACAGTGTTTGTAACTGACCTCATTTTTTCCTCGTCTAAATGCTTTTAGATGATCTTTTCTAAGACAGTGAAAGGCTTCCTTGGTTCTGTCTATGGATGTACAATCCTCTAGCTGTTTTACATCCAGGCAAATGGTTAAGAACTTGCCTGCCTACTTGTCTGGCAAGTGTGGAAATGTCTTAATTTTATGGACTTCTTAATAATAGTAGTCCTGACAGTACAATGTCAGTACTGGGTGAGGCTCCCATCTGCAGCCTCATTACTTTTAACTGGGTTTTTAGGCTGTAAATCTTGGTGGGAGGAAATTGTCCTTCTTCATCATTAAGAGTAGCTAGTGGACTAGAACCCCTGACATTTCAAGTTAGGGCTGTTGGATTGATTTGATCTGTTCTCTCTGCTTTGTTTCCCTTGTGTGCTTTTCCTCCTTTCAATTTGTTGTTTATTTTTTTAGATGTCTTTTTAAGGAGCCTGATGGTGTAGTGTGTAATGTATCAGACCAACAAGTGAGAAGTTGATGGTTAGAGTACACCATCGCTCTGCAAAGGAAAGATAAGCAGTCACCTCCTGTAAAGGTTTATTGCCTAGGAAATCTCTTGGAGTTTGCTTCGAGCTGGAGCTGACTTAATGGCAGAGGACTTGGGTTTTAGTATCACCCATTCATCTGTTGCAGGTTGAGCTGAATCTGTCAGGGAAAGGTTTAGGATGATCTCAAAATTATTAAGAGATAGATGCTTTGTTAGTAGTGATGAATACCACCAAAGAGGTCATCTTCTGCTGGAGAGTCATGTGGTAGAAGCGCTTCCAAATTTTTAGCAATTATTAGAGTAAGCCATGTTAAAGAGTAATTAAAAATGGGTTTCTTACATTTGCCTTGTTGCTAGGCATAGAAAGTACTGGTTGTTGTTGTTATGTGCCGTCGAGTCGCTTGTGACTCATAGCGACCCTATGTACAACAGCCCTAAATGCTGCTTTATCCTGTGCCAATCGCACTGTCTCTGACACACCCATCCCGATTACCTCAGTCACTGATTCAATCCACCTCATAGAGGGCCTTCCCCTCTTGTGCCGTC